GTGGATAGTAAATTAAACTACAAGAAACACATTCAATCAGCAGTGAACAAAGCTAATAAAGTCCTAGGGATTGTAAGGCGAACTTTTACTTATCTAGACAAAAGATCATTCTGTTTATTGTACAAGTCACTAGTCAGGCCACACCTGGAATATGGGGCTAGCATTTGGAATTCATACCAAATACAAGACATCAAGTTACTAGAGAGTGTACAGAGAAGGGCGACAAAGCTTCTGCCAGGGTTGAGAGAAATGACATATGAGGACAGAATGAGATATTTAAATTTACCATCGTTGAAATATCGAAGGGATAGAGGAGACATGATAGAAGTGTACAAAATTCTGAGTGGTCTTTATGACATGAAAGCTGCAGAGAACTTACTGAGAGTTAACAAGACAAAACGCACACGAGGGAACTCACTATCACTGGAGAAATCAAGAAGCAGACTAGACATTCGAAAATATTCATTCACACAGAGAGTAGTGAGTAACTGGAATGCATTACCGGAAAAGATTGTGAGATCACCGACACTGACCACCTTTGAAAACAGATTGGACAAATTCTGGGAACTAGAGGACAGAAAGTACAATGTTGACAATCACCAAAGCAGTACATCAACCAGGAGTGACTATATGAATACTTTATTGAGACAAAATCTGGATCTGAGTATAGAGGCCTAAGAAGGCCTACATTCAGAATCGACTAAGTAAGACTAAGTAAGTAAGTAAGTAATATGTAGAGAAATATTAAGTCGGAAGCCGGAAAGAAAAACCCGGATTATGTAAAAAAAAAAAAAAGAAAGGCTATTGAGTAATAGAATTATACGTACGTGTCTCTATATATACCATCAATATAATCTTTCAAGAGAGAATGCAGATAGAGAACAGAGTATAACGTAGTTAGACAAACGCTATCATGTCAGAGATCTGAACGTTTTGGAATTATTATTTTTAAGATACACATGTGCAAGTTACTTTTCTTACCTTACATACACCTTCCGTGTGATCCACTCAGCTTACAAATCCATACAGAAGTTTTTGTAACAAAAACACACCACATACATATATAATTAGTAAGAAGAAATTACCAAGTCATATATATATCTAGATCAGTAAAATAGGGACTATCGGCAGTATAAAACTGCCTTACCAGTCCACACCGACCATAAGATAATCAGAACTAGTCTCTTGTACGGTCAAAATTCTCATCACACTTGAGGAAATCCTCATAGAGCGGGGTGTCTATGGAAATGCAACGTTTCACACCGTTATCGAACACAACGAAAAGTTTTCCGTCCAGACTATAGGAGTTTTTAACATAGTCCAAGGAGTAGGCATCTCGTACCTTTTGCTGGTTTAGTCTTGTCAAGTCCTCAGACACAGTATATCCGGTTCCCTTCAGCTTCCTTCTAGATTTGATAATTTGATGTCTCTTACGTCTTCTGACAAATTTAACAATGACGTTTCGTGGTTTTGTTTTGGAAAATTTTGCCAGTCTGTGCGCAACGTCAATATCCTCACTACACAATGATACATTCAGTTTGTCGTTAACGAAAGTCACGATCTTTTCAACACATTCTTCTGCTGTCTCTTTCGGGGAAATGTCTTCAAGTCCGGCTATCCTCAGGGAGTTTTTTCTGCCATGTTGCTCGAGGTCATTGAGTTTAGTCCTTGTTGGAATTTTGTTGATCAGACAACTGTTTCTCAAGTAACCCTATCGTCTGTCGAAGATCTTCGTTGTCTGATTCTAAGTCGAAAATTCTGCCTTTTAGGCGTTCTATCAGCTCTTTGTTTTCGTTACGGATATCTTCTCGTAAGTTGGCAACCTTTCTGTCCAAATATTCCCTGGTAGTAAGGGTAGCGAGAATATTGGTGATCTCGTCAAGTCTCTCATCAAAACCTTTGGGCTCTACACCAATATCACTGGTTCTGTTCCGAGTACCTCCACGAGATGACGATGATGTTAAGGACTGTCTTATAGTTCCTCTAGCAGGCATGATGTACACGGTAAATAATCCAAGGTTTTATAGTGGTTGTTGAGTTACGTATAGTATACTTTTCACAGTGCGTGGTGAACAGTACTCACAGCGTGGCTACCTGGTCAATGGTGCAAACTTCAAACACCAAAAACTCCGCAAATTTGGAATTTCCCGCTTTGATTATCACAAAGAAGTTAGCAAAGCTAGTTTAGGACGACATGATCTAAACAGTTCCCAAAATAATTTCCTAAAAACCAGTAGATTTTCAGAAAATATGCGGAGCTCAATGAGAGACGTCCACCTGGATCCACATGACCTCTGACCTCCCTTTGAAACATTATTGGTAACATTGATAAAACGATGACGCCGCATTTGTATATTTGATTATACCAAATATATTCCCATATCGTCATTCCAGGATACAAAATGAGCGCAACCCAGTGAAAAGAGAAGATGGCAGAAGAAAATAGATCCATAGGCACCTTCGTCGTGATGACCGACAAACTAATTACGATATTATCAGTGCAGAAGAAACCCTGAGAACGAAGACCCTTGCGCAGCATATGTACCGTTCGATGTAGAATACCAAGACAGTCATACTGACTCGATCCAGAGCACTCAAATTAACCATAACAGAATAGACTCAGTATTCAAATTGTAATGACGATCAATACAAATACGAATACAAATATTCTTCTAATTATGTGGATAGTCCATACCCAGTATTGACGATGATTGGTTATGTAAACACCAGAAATACCACACAGAAATATTCCATGAACTGGATCGTTATAGTTTCTAATTTTCGAGTCTTCTTGAAACACAATCACGGCACCCTATCGCATGTCAAGAAAATTATACTTCAGTTCTGTCGAGAATGCTATTGTCCTGTTTATTCCTGTAGAATTAAATATATCAATATATATCACAACTTGTGGTTAGTGATGCACAAAAGAGTGCAAAATCGATGATCTATGCAGCCTTTCAATTTTTTATTGGAGATGTGAGAATGGGCAAAGATAGCAGTGTAACGCAAGTGAACAAATTACTGTATCTGCAGTTATTTGATCTAATTAGCTTATTTAATAACAAATTTATACAGAAATGATAGGAAACCACATTAAATGCATAAACAGCACACGTCATATTGCGACCAGAAACTGAAAACGATTCAAACATGTATCTTATTTTAAATCCAACAACGATATGTCACAAACGATTATTCCTATCCCTTTTCCCCTATTCACAAACTGAAGCTATATGCAAGCCTCCAATTTGTCCTTGCTTAGCTTAGATATAATAACAAATTAGTTATATCACTACCGATCAAAATGATACCTCTCGCAATTCATTCATTCCGAAAATACAGTTGTCTGACTCGAATTTCACATTTGGTAAATCAGCATCGTGCAGATATTTTATCAAACTTTGAGAGGTTTCGAAAACTTTGAGAAATTGTTGGTTAATTTAATCTACAATTAAGATGCCAATATTGTCCCTTAAAGCGAATATTGATTGTAACATAGCTTCGATTTATATATAACATTAGTCTTATCAGAACCCTGTGTACTGCCATTCTCCATTCAAACCTAAAAGAACGCCTTCATTCCCTGATTAAGAAATATTTCTTTTCACGGAAAGATAAAATGCATTATATAATAATATATATTAAATATGAAATATATGTATATTACTGCAAAATACTGGAGCGTATAAACAGTGCATCGAATGCCAAAAGGGAATGTTCGTCAAGCTTGTTGTGCAGATTATTTGACTGCCTATAGGGATTCGTATGGAAACACATTGTGACCTTCCTTTTTGCTGAATTGTTTTCCATACAAGTCTATATTTATCACAGAGCTTGTTGAAACCCGTATTAATGACCTTGACATATCTTTCAATTTCACTGTTAGATAATTGGTGGTGTAGACATATGTCGACAATGCTTATCTTTCCACCAGAATGGGAAATTAGGGACACGACAGACTCCTCTACAATGCCAATGGCATCAACCTTTCACCAAGCTATAATGATTTTGATTTTTCTATAGGAAATTTCAAAATGTCGACAGCTTACAAATAACAGGATTCTAGAGAGTCAGGTTGAGGAAGATAATCTTCAATCTTAAAGTGTGCTGGTCGTCAAAATGCTCTCTTGAGAAAACGTTTAATTTGCTTATGCAATATGAAGCTAGACTTATTACATGTTTGTTGGTATAACTGTCGATTCCGAAGCTAACTTGACAACTCAGAAGACCCTATCTCTTCCTGAACACCTGGTCCTATCATCCTTGTACTTTTTCAGAATCAGTAAATTCGTCTTTTGTTTATACGTTATCCTCGTCGATTTCGAGTATGGATGAAAGGTCTATTAACATATTCATGTCTTTGTTTTTTAAATGGAAATTATTGACGCTAAATACAATAGCAAAGGTATGTACACTGCATGACCTGTTTACAATATCAGCGTTGAAAACTACTGTATTCAAAAGGAGTGAATATTGTACACCGTTGCATCGCCTCCTTGTGTATTCGTCATCGATACATTATTGCATTGCCTACATTGCAATGAAGTTTTAACGATCGTGAGCAATCAGTACCGACTGAAGAAACGGTTGTAGATTTTAATATACTTATTGATTTATTTTAATTTCATATAATTCCACACAGATTAATGAAATCAACATTAGCATGAAACACCAAACGTAAATACAATTTTGGCCAGGTTGATATAATATACATTAATCACAAAGCTGGAACTTTCACCTCTTGTATTAAAACAACACTCGTCGGTCTGTCGTTCTGTGGTTCCTATGAGATTTTGATGGTTTTTTGCATTTTGAATCCTGGTTGTACTATCATATTTAGATCATGCAAATAATCTTCACATACCGTGCAATAACATAAGAAAAATGTTACATTTTTAATGTTAAATAATATCTTTATCTGTTTTTAAATATATAAATATATGTTCATATATCCAATGGCGAAAGATATTTTATATGACAAATAGAAGAAATTATAATCAGTCAAGTAAAAATCCGAAGAATGATGAACCACTCAAAGGATAAGCACCGATATCTGTTGAATACACGATTTTCACGCTAACACGATCTCCGACATTCAAATCAACCATGACCGAGTTAGACCCACTGTTCCAGTTGTAGGGTTGACCAACAGAATACAAATATCCCCTTGGCGATCCGTTAACGTCTAAAAGTGTAGTTAATCCATGCCCACTATTGACGGCCATTGTCCAGGTGAAAATATAAAAACCGGATACACCACACTGAAATATTCCTTGGAAAGGACTATAGTAGTTTCCTGCATTCAATGTTTGATGTTGAAAGACAACCACGGTTCCAGCTCGCAGGGTAGTGAAATGAGAATCCAGTTCTGCGGAGAACGCGATCTTCCTTTTTGTTCCTACGGAGTAAAATATTGATTTATTTGTCACGTACATCTGTATGTTACCTGAGTAATGTGGGGGTTATGTGGATCACGTGATCGGGTGTGTGAGCAGTAAGCGTAAACAGCAACTTTCGCCTGTCCAGGAGGCCAGTACGGCCGTTGTGTTATTTCACCTGTTTGCTTATTTCATGGGAAATTGGCGCCAGATATCTGACTGGGATAAGTATTCTTTCTGTCTTTAGTAATATGCGGTTTTCTGTGGTTAATTATTGCCATATTTTCATGCCCCTATCATAGGTCAAGCCATCTATTATCGGTGTTCGTGCATAGCTATCAGGATTGTCAAATGCAGGTTTAATTTCTGGATATAACGTTGAATTTGCTCTTTTTGTAGTTAAAGTTCTTATTGTACATCTATATGTGCTTTTATGTTAATGATTTAGTTGTTGTATAACTGCTAACTTCCCATAGAAATGCTGTTACGTTCGAGTGAAATATTTATGGAAGTCGTGAGCGGTAGTTGTGTGCGCGTGAACTGGCAAGTGATCGCGTAGGTAAAAAAGGCCGGAGTTGCCATATTTGTTTCGTGTAGCGATAATGTTTAGATAAACGTTTGTTGAAATTTGATATAGAATCTCATCACACACCGTAGAATTAGTTCTTGTGCATTGTCATACATATAATTCATAGAATGTTAGTAGCGAATGATGGATTATCACTTAATTGTAATTTGTGAAAAAACTTAGTTAGTTATGGTAAATATAACGAGAATGGATGGATGAGTGCCTAGTGTTCGTTTCGTTTATCTTTAAAGCTTCATATGGCGGAGAAAACAATGTAAAGGATATAGAAGGTCAGCATTTTTGGAGCGCCACATCTTCCGCATGCAGTAACGAGACCGACTGACGTTAAGGTCAGCTGCAGGAGGGATTGTCTCCAGAACATGCTGGCATGTAGCTCCTCAGGAGGCTGCCTATTAGTGTTGATAGCCCAGCCACCAACTCCGCAGAGGGATGCACGTTACGTGTGCATCACTAGCAAGCCGTCAGTGAGCTAGGAACTGAGAATTATACTTCATAGGAAATGAGAGTTGTTCCGCTATGATCGGACTAAGGAGTCGGTTAGGTTGAGTTTCTTGCATCCGCAAATTGACACACTGTGCCTGTGTATTTGTAAGACATTCCTGTCAGTGAAGAGACTGTAGCTATCTGTACATGTTGCCAAAATGTATGAATGAAGTATGATTGTGAGTGCAAGTATGTTGATATTTTTCTGTATGTTTTCTATGTAAATAAACTGTATTATATGTTCATTGTGTTATATCTCTGTGTTGATTTCCGGATATGCTGGGCAGAGGCTCGTCCCACGTTACAATATTATTATAGCCATATAAGAACTAGTTATAATCTAGTACAAGTTGCAATCATAATCATTTATGTAGATTACTAACTCCTGTTGACTGAGAAATGCACTTTGGATATTTATCGTGTCAGTTTTCCAATGTGTATCGTTTTATTTTACTCGCAGTGATGTAAGTAATGTAAGTAAGTAATGTTGCAGTAATCAAATATAGCTTTGATGTAATCAAATGAATACAGTTAAAATCTGAAGAAAGCTTATTTTCTTTAATGTGTTTTTATGATTATTACTTTGTATCTTCTTTTTCATCTATTTCACAAGTGTGCAAACAAGTGATCCTCATAATTAAAGGATTAAGCATGGACTGGTTTCATTGCAGATAACTCCTAAAATTCATTAAGATAATTTTAATTAACCTATCTTTAGAGAATATTTATTATTTCAGAGCACTGACACCCGAACTCATGCAAGATTGTGCAATTTGTGTGGATATACTAGCAATTCTATCGGTAGTTAAATTTTTTGGTGGAAACCAGGCAAAAAACGGTATCGCATTCGCCTTCCATCTGACGAACGAGATTCCATTCAACGACCGAACGTGAAAATGCATTTGATCACATGAGTTTTACTTGGGTTTCATTAGGCTTTCTTCCCACAACTCGTGAGTGATAGGCAAAAGCTGTAAGTCAGTTTTGAAAATGTTGCAAAATGAAATAAATAATGTTATAATTATTCACATTCGTGGCACTGATTTACTTCTTTGCGCATTTCCACAGCAAATCAATGGTATAAACAAGCCAACAAGTTATATTTTTGCTAATGATGTCTTGTCCTTATACCGTATGCATGGCGGTTTCGTTGAAGTTAACCTGTTCTTATTTGAAAACGTGTCTTTGCATATTTCAAGTATCATGTTGGATATTGTGAATGAAGCAGGATACGCTCACATATACTAGCGCACTTTTTTCTGTCGCTTTCAAGGTGTGTTTCATTTAACAACTATTTCTAGACAGAAATATCATAGTACTTCATCGTTTTAAACATTACATGGTTAACAATAAGCCCTGGGTCTTGGAGATCATCTGATCGTCTGACAAATCAATAAATGATTTCATACCTTATTTTCGTTTTAGACGAAATTTGAATGAAAATACACTTCGGCATAAGTAGGATTTAAAGCAAAAGTTAAGCTAACCGAGTTATTTGGGTCTCCATTCCAAGTACCTTGGGTGTCGATTCAACTTCCTGAATTGAAGAAATTATTGCCCACCTAAATGATGTTTCGGACCAAGTTTAGATGAAAATCATTTGAGCGTTCAGAGGGAGTTGCGTGTTCAAAACATATTTACATCCGATGGACGAAACACGACGGCTGTAGATAATCTTGACCCTCTTAAACTACATCTTTCATACGCAAATATTATCGATGCACTGTAGTGACACATTAGCGAAACTACTTTTTATTTGAAAGCAGTCATGCACGTTTTTATGTACTTGTTATAAGCAGCATTGAATTGATATACTCATTGTTATTAATGTTAGCCAAGAGACAAACAACATAAATGATCGGCCATCTCAATATGCTTACGGATATTATTGCATTTTGCCAGATATGAGGTCTGATTAACTGTATCAGTAGCGCGGTTGTTCTCGTTACCGTAGTGATAGATCCTATGGTTTCAATATTCCCAATATATGGTTGTTAATGCTCCTCCCCAATCCGCTGCTTGTAAGCATTTACATGAGAATATACATCATTGCAATGTTGCTCTCATTCTAATGACGTCGCGTTGCTTATAACGATCGTGTTTAGTCTGTACTGGCTGATATGTCTATTTAGTTGTACTTTTTAATTTGTTATGATAAGAGTACCGATACATAAATTCAGTTATAACATGACCGATCGAAGACAAGAATAATTTGTCACAAGATTTAAACTTTCACTACTCGTAATATACCATTAGAAAGGTAAAGCAACCTTACGTGTACAGTTACGTGGAATACGACGTGTACTTTTATAAAGGTAAGCAGCATTTGATTGTATTTATTCTTTGATCTGGGCAAGTGAAGTGACCATTTTACACAATCCATTTCCTAGCCATGGCAGTAATGGCTGAAACTCAGATGACCAGGCATTGCTGCTTGTATCTCTGTATATTGAAGGAACTGCATAATCGCACGGATAAATTTTGAAATGCTCATTAATAACCAGGGTAAGAATATATTTTAATTTGAAAAAGTTTATATAAGAGTCCGTTGCAGAGCGATCTAGATTTCCATAAAAGTATTATGCAAGAACCTAACTATTTGTAGGTAAGAGGATTATATGCATAACATATCCCAGCTGAATAAACGATCTGCATATAGTATTTAGAAGGATCAATGCAGAGATTTCCAAAATATATACAGGTATGCATTGTTATGTATTTCATAATTTGCTATTCAATCGATATGAATTACAAGAAATCTGCCTATTACAGTATACCTTACATAACATTTGCATATCTATTGGCCTATGTATCCCTTGCGGATATGGGTTAGAATTTATCCGCTGTGTCCTACTGCATGTGGTAAAAGTTCACTAAAAGGGGCAACCTGTCTGCCGTGGGTAGCATCCCGTTAGTACTGGGAGAAAGGATCCTGGGGGCGGTTATGTGGTTTGCTCTTTATTCAAAAGCAATCTTGCATGACCTTCCCCCAATACATTACGTTTGCCTCTATCGAGGGTGGTCATTGCGTTCGTCAATGATCAATCGACTGGTCATGTCAAACCAAGGGTCCTAAGTGTTCAATATTTTCGTTGGTATTTCACTCAACCGTATACCCATCATTTGTTGTAGTTTTTATTTTACAGTTGTATCCCAGACGGCGGTGGCTTAAGGTTCAATCGAAAGTGTTCTATTTTTTCGAGTATCCTGTATCCTTGGCACTCGTGCACCAGAGATCCGTACTGTCAATAGTTTCCCCTTGTTAGACTCCGAGGTGGGTGAGGAGCACGGGTAATAAAAATCTAAACATCCAATTAAGAACACACACACAAAAAAAAAAAACCGACCTTGTCCTTCATCATCAGACTCAGAGGATGACCATGATTTCAACCAATTCATCGTCATACGGTCGTTGGAAAAGGATAAATCAATGTCATCCGTTTCACCATTTATTATAGAAAAAAAATCCTGCCAACATGAGGTACTCAAAAGGGTGTTTAAAAACTATCCGGCGAACGCCTTGTGGAAGAGTTTCGCCAGCAACATTCCAAGAACCTCTTAGGAATGACATAGCTGTGCAGGTTGTCCCTACATCAAGCAAGCCTCTGTGTAGAAGCTAACGAACCATCACTTTATAGCCGTCGAAATAAATTGGCTTTGCAATACGCCATTCAGCTAAAATCCAGTGCTTCAAATCCTTCTTTTTCACTTGTATTTGATTAAAAAAATATAATCTTGTTTCAAAACAAAGCAAAAAACCTCTCTACTATTCGGTATTCAAATTTCCGCTCATTACAAAACACAAATTTGGAATGATAGAAAGTCCGCCCTGGCTCTTTAATTAGCCAGAAGTTGACTTTTCACCTCATAAATTACTTAAATGAGACACTGACAGTTGCACATTTCGTTTATCCTTCTCGAAAGTGCAGTTAAAATATAAAACATTTCTACATTTACATACTGATGTTTCAAAAGATAATGATACGGTTGCCGCGGCCATGGTTTCAGAAGATGAACCCCGTGGATGTTGCCTGTATTATAGACTATGACTTACCATTTGAATCTTTTGTGATAGTATATCCATTGAAGATTTTAAGCATTTGTTTTTAAACTTTTAGTTTGTTTGATGTTATTTCCTTTTGGATCGCTGTCGCAATTGTGCCCTTGTCCTTGATACTTACCCAATTGTTGTGGCTGACCCGTCGTATGCTGTTCAACGAGATAGACACCAGCTGTCAAAGGAGACTCAGTCTCATTGACTGTTTATAGAGTGATAAACCCAACAATCGAAACATGAAATGATAATTCAGTTTGTGTTTAGGAGGACTTGATATGTTTATGAAAGCCTTCCTGCGGTATTATTGAACTGACACCAACTTCATTTGGTTGGTTTAGTTACCTTTTGAAAACGTCCAAAAGAGTGTTATAAGATAGATAAATATTTATATTATCAATGCTAAGATACTTATATTTATTCGAGATGCCCTGTTTAAGGTCGTGCTAGCTTTGTGTGGTGGAAAGCTGGAACCCTCAGATAAAATCGACCGACCTGCCACCAGTACCTTACATGGGCATTGTACACAGTTGTGGAGACGTCAATTTCTGTCAATTAATACTTTTGTGAATGCGACTTACCTGACATTGATTGCCCTGGCTCGCCCTTCTGACCTGTAAATCCTGTTTCGCCTTTTTGTCCTCTATACCCAATATTACCTTTATCTCCTTTACTTCCTTTGATACCTGGGTTAACAACAGTGAAATTGCAATTGATAAATAAGCCTTGGAAATTAATGCAGGACTCTACAAATTCATCTACATGAAAGTCCTTTCCGTTGATGTGGGGATGTATGAAATATATATAAATACATGTATTTCATCACATTTATCCATTATTTGATAAAGAGACATCACCTGGTAGGAAATTTAAGTCTTTAAGACATTGGCAATCGTCTCTGTTATAACCAAGATCGCAATTTTAAACGTTCAATAAGGTGCATTAAGGGCACAAAAAAATCCTAGTTTAATTTATCGTAATTATTTCAATTACATAGTGTTAGGTGACTGACTTCCCTTTCTCCTTGTAAAAAACAGGGTGTACTATTTTCGAGTTTTCTACCATTGCAGATATGACGACCCTGGCTCTAAACCCTCAACCATGATTCTAAATTTGTATTGAAAACTGCCTTTCACTTGCACGAGTAGTTAGTACAATCTTCTACAAATGATCCATTCTAAACACGAACACATACATATTCGTGATGTTTAAATGCGTGTATACATGTATACAAGTTTTCTTTCTTAAATTGCATACATCAATGTTGAAGACAACATATTCGCGTAAAATATAAAATATATTATATACAAACATAATGCTCGTGCCACCATCAACTGTTTGATTTCTTTTTTCTTATTTAATTTATTGATATCTTCAGTTCATTCCTCTATCTTTGCTCTAAATTACGGTCGTCATAATGATCGTAACTCCATTTTATGATATGAAGCTAGGCGTGTTTGATGTTAGTTTGTTGGGCTGTTTGTACCGTTATTGTAAAACTTGTTCTTATTTGGGAATGTGACATAACTGACTTGGATTGATAAAGATTTACATGGCGAGTGTCCTGAATGAGGTAGAACAGGCTAACACTTCCGGAACACCTGGTCTTGTGTTCCTTCTTGTTTTTCCTCGTTTTCTTGAGTTTCCGTGTAAATCTTTCTTTCGTTCACAGTTTGCCCTAGTTTTATTATATTTCAGTTTGAACTAAAAGTATGTTGACATGTTGGTATTTTCTTTTCAGTATTTTCTGTCTTATAACTTTTAATTTGTTTTAATAAGCTATTTGGATTTGATTTTTTTTTTATTTTAAGAAACAAAAATGCACTATGTCATATAAACATAGCAAAGATGCCATATAAGTCTGCATCGCTCACCTGGTACTCAATAATAATCACAGACAGAATCACAGTTTATCACAAATACGCTAACACTTACGCCAATGACATTTGAAATGGGTAATCTTACAATTTCTGCAACAAACAGGTTCTAAATCTCAAAATAGTAACAGTTACAAGCTGGATCATAGGTAAATGGCATCATATTTTCTCGAAATTTGTTAGAGTAACACATTTCAATAAGATACCTGGCATCCCGGACTTTTGATTTACCTGAAGACGTCTTTTACAGCTTTTGATACTTCGACCCCTGTGACCTTGAATAGGGTTCTAGGTAATTTCTGTTTTTTCAAACTTTGTCAGGATTCAATGAATAATAATTTTGAAATAAATTTTCACGTTACTGGTAAATATTATAACAGCAATTATCATGTATCAGAGTAGAAATAGAAAGGTGGACACATTAAAGCAATCGCAAGTTACTACAAGCTTAACTTAATCTGTCTAATCATAACAAAGCACATTGTAATTCTGGTATGTTGTCTATATAGCTGCAATATGTTGAGATATATTGTTTATCCTATGAGTTAACTTTCATCATCAAACTACACCATTAAGTAAAGATTGGTCAAATTATTTAACAAGTATACATACCACTATTTCCCTGAAATCCTGGATATCCCGTAGCACCTTTGTCCCCTTTTTTACCTATTTTGTATATGAAACATGACGTCATCAGATAATATTGAAAATAACTTGATTTTAGCGAGTATTAATTTTCACTAAATGTAAGTGATTGTTTTATTCGAGAATATATTATTTCACGCGTACCACACTACTGAAGTCATTTGTTTAAAGACAACAACACTGAGAGGGATTTGAATAAACAAATGATCCTGCTCTCCAATAAACGCAAAGTTTAATCCATTTCGAAAAATAAGTGATTCACAGTAGTTTTCGTCGTAAACGTAAATGTATCGCTAATGAAATACTGTAAAACACATTTTCCACAACATAAAAAAATCGTTTTGAATGTATTGTCTTTTACATTTGACAGTTGTAGACAACAGAGTATTATACCAGCAGCTCCAGTCCATCCAATTGATCCAGTTATCCCTTTTTGCCCCTTTGGCCCAGGAGCCCCAGGGCCTCCTTTCGGTCCATTAATACCACGCATTCCAGAGTCTCCTTTGGGGCCAGGAGTTCCAACATCTCCTGTCAATCCCAACTCACCCTTTGCACCTTTTTGACCTGAAAGATTGCACGTATTTTGCAACTAGTTAAACCATTGATAATGTGATATATACAGCTGATGATAATACTGGTTTTCATTTTTCACAACACGGTTTTTTCAAATTTCAAGCTGAAGTGACATAATATTCGTTAATAGCATTACATTTTGTTTAAAATGTCCCAACACTATACATATACAATATCATAGAGATCATCTTTGTATAATTCTTATTATCGATCTAAAGTATTCAACAATATCTAAAAACATCTTCCTTGTAAGCATAACGTGGAAAAGTATGTCTACATACAATACATACAAACACCTGGCGTGAAAAACATTAATATATAATTAAAATTGGTGTGTATTTTTTTAAAAAGAATTAACACATTAAGAAGCTAGATATTGTTACGAGTTGCAGAATGCTAGAAATTGAATGATGAGTTCAGTCTTCCATATAAAAGATGCAATTAAATCGTCCATGGATGAAAAATATGGATAGAAAGATTCTTCAGGAGCAAACAAATGATTGAATTTATGAATTATTTCAAGTTACGACTTATGCACTGTTATGATTTGTAAATAATTATTTGATTTGAAATTAACATGTGTTGTATAATCTCTTAAAACATAGATTTATATAATTGTACCAGGATTTCACGAGTTACCCAATTCTCGATGATCCTAGGGCTACAATCACTCTCGCTCTCTGCAACACTGGAACATGTCATGCCAAAAAGTGAAGGCACAAGTGAAATAATTTATCTGGTTCCAGGAGAAAAAACTGATCAATCAAAGGCTGACTTACCTATACCTCCTTTAGGTCCTGCTGGACCAACTTCACCTTTGGCTCCATCTAGACCTGTGTAACAAAATTCAATCTGATGATAGTTTCATTATTTCATTACTAAGATCAAATTAGGGTGGATTCTTCACACAAAATATAAAGTTGATCAATCAATATTAATAAAACATTAATTTTCCCAAATATTCCTAGTAAGACACAATATACCGATCGGCTAGAGAGAACCTCTCTTTGGCTATATCGGAGTCCATGCCTCTAATAGCTCATCATTTAAAGTCGTATCTACATCATTGTTCACGAAATAATGTACTTGCGAAATCAAAGTGATTTAGTTAGAACTGCATAATAAACAAGCACTAAGTTTTATCCTCAAACCTCAAAAGAGCCTCACAAAAGTCTAGATATAGTCGATCAAGATGGTACAGAAGACACACAAGTGAATAGCACCTTTCAATAATGTAGCGTAAGACACAGTAGAGCCAGACAATTAATTAAACTGTATCATTCGGTTGTTTTGTCCTTCAGTGATGCTAAGAACCTATATTTTGAAGCCTAGGAGGCGAATGGGGAACATCCAAAGAGATAGAAGTGAAAAAAAGGCAAATTCCATTAAATAAATTTCGAAATTTGCATAAATAAGACAATTTCAGAGCAAACCGTATCAACTTATTTTCAATTACGTTAATAGATCGCAAGTTTGATGTCCCTTACGATGTTACCATGGGGTTAGCAAGTACAATTATTACGCTCTTCTCCAATATCTATATCGCCTTATCAATAGAAATAATGGATTTGACAACGCCATGTCTTTGTTAATTTGTGATTTTAGGGCTTTAAGAATCGAGAGGTTGATAGCGAAAATAAAAACCAGCGAAACATGTGCAGAAACAGGTGTGCGACGCACTAACCACATTACTCAATAAGTTTTAGATATCCGATTATTTTAACCTAAATGCTTAACTATGCCACTTTTAAAGCATATCACGAATATAAAGCTTTTAATGTTACACTCCAACAAAGAATATCCTTACCTGTAATTTTCTTAATATATATTTTGGTTTATCTCATATTTACCATCATGCCCGTCGTCACCATTAAATCCGGATCCACCATCGCTTCCTTTTGGTCCCTCTGCTCCGTGATCACCCTTTTCACCCTTTTGACCTGATTTATAGCTCATAAAGTTCATAAAAGTGATGTTCAAGGTATTTCTAATTACACTTAATCAGTGTAAATGTGAGGCACTTGATTATAGACGTTGAAATGATGTCGGGAAGTGAGGAGGCAATGCACACTGTCAAAATAAGGACTGCATGCAAAGAGCCCATGTTAAATAATCCCTTATACTATTATAAGTATTATTATTGTTCATCTTTGTCAGTTATTGATTTTTACACACATCAAATAATTATCTTGCAAGAAGTTATCGTTTATCAAAAAAATCATCATTCAAATTGGTTGCTGAAGTTATCGGCCCTGATGTATCCGAGCTATCAAAACACAACAAACTTGTAAGACTGTCAAATATATTGAATTAAAATAACAACAAGAAATCCTTACACACACACAAACGAAATACTGAAAAATATATTACCGTCGACTCCATCCAAGCCATCGTCTCCGTTGAACCCTGGAATGCCAGCGTCTCCTTTGGGGCCTGGGACGCCTTTTTCCCCTTTTGGTCCTACCATGGCTGTTATTAACGTTGAGTTTAAAACGGGTTAAACACTGATTACGACAACGGAATGCGATAAACATATTCTCATTCTTTAAGAGAAGACTGTTGATTATTAAACGCAAGGCAAAATTTTGTATTTTCTAAGATTATACAAAAGACACTCATAATTTAGAGTGAGCTACAGTAGAGCCAAACAATTAATTAAACTGCGTCATACAGCTGTTTCGTCCTTTTAGGACTCGCCAGTGATGTTAAGGGCCTAAAATTGAAAGGCTAGGAGGCGAGTAAGGAAAATTCAAAGTGATCAAAAGAAAAGTCAAAATCTAGACAATGAGCTGCAGCAGCTCCATCAGTAGATAAATTTCGTAATTTTCATACATCAGAAAATTTTACAATAGTGTCAACTATGTGTGGCTGTTAGAAGATCTTACCACCAAACTCGATGAAGATGTCAACCCAGAAACTCGATCGTTTTTATGATTTCGTCCTCCATATATTTCTTCTTTAATTCGGACGTGTTTTTGTTTTTGTTTTTTTTTTTTTTTTCAAATTACGCTTCAGTATAGCTCACAGCTATATATATTATACCGCTGTAGATCTTTCTTGGAGAAGAAAGCGTCCTTCAGTTTAGAATGGGGTATGGTGGCGTACAGGTTGGAAAAATCAAATGTCCTTATAGAAGAAATCTTTTAAGAAGAGGTTTTTGATGATTAGTCAAAAGTTCTTCAAAATCCACAGACTATTAATTCCACTCCTGGTGTAAACAGTATCACAATAAGCTTGCTTTTATAGTTATTAGAATGGCGGTCAGTAGTTTAGACAACGGTTTGGTTGGGCAGCTAGACGAGCCAGCAATTAAACGTTGTTTATATAGATTCTAGTGAAGTTCAGAGATCCAGTGTTAACGGCGGAGGTCCGTATACTTATCATAAAAAGGCAATCTACGTTATTGTAATATCTTAGCATGAAGCAACTAATATTTCGTCTTTTGAAATATTGCATAATGTTAATGAGGACTTTCCTTCGTTATCAAGCAAGCCCAGTTCTTATTGTATACAGGAAATGTAATCATGTATCTACAAGCACAATAACGTACCTGTCATTTGAATCTTGATTTGACATCAGGATCGAGGAAAGCTGACCTGTGCTTTGTTTTCATTTTACATTTCAAGCTGGAAATCATTTTACGAATGATGGACCTAATGGATATCATCCGTGAATCCAACGCAGCATGTTCTCGTTTTTCCAATTCTCTTGCATAGTTTTCAACATAATCCATTAGTATCTTAAAATTCATATTCCAATTAACGGATGGTGATTCAAAAGCTCTCGTAGCATAGTATTTTGAATAATGCTTGTATACTCCTAGTTACTATGTGCCTAGTTGGACCATAGTTATAAAGAAGGATATAACAAGAACAAGCTGACGGAGGACTAGTTCTAAGATCACCTACATTTAGTTGCTGCAGTGTTTGAGAATAAACTATCGATCTATCTCCTTGACATTTGCCTTTGATGTAACTAACTCGTGTACAAAGTTACTTTTTCACATTTTGCTCCCTTCAACACATGATGTACCAAATGTTTTGTATACTAAATGGAGACGTAAATGATATTTTCGTCAATTTGTCCTTGTCTGTTTATTATATCTTCTACAAAAACTATGCCACTATCCGTCCAGGTCTTGTTTATCAGTGATTTCCGTATGCGTATATCTCCGTTACCCCATATAATAGAGTTTCCTTTATCTCTATAACTGTTTTCTACTTTAATTGAACCTTTAATCTTAACCCATGATTTTAAAATGTCATAATAAAAATCAAACAGGTCACTGTTCAAGTTTTTATATCTCTTAAATGTGTAATATTCATTTTGAAAATAAGTAAGTCCTTTCCGTATTTTTCATACTGTAGGTTTGGAATAATTTTCCAATTAGCCACCATTCCATCATTTAATCTTTTGACACAGCTAATTCTTAATATGTCTATATGAGATTCTATGTCTATTCGGATCATAGTTCTTTCCCAGTTTGCTTTCCCAGTTCATGTTTCCTATTTGTACCGAAAAACACCCCCAATGACTTAATTTCGTTTCTTGTCCATTTCTTATTTTCATAAAACTTACCCCTGTTTTTATTACAGCCTAGCCATAAACCTTCTGTTTTCCCTCTATTCAAACCTAGTCCAGATAATTTTCCAAACTCTTCTATTATATTTAAGGCAGCCAATATGTATGTCTCTATATTTCAAAAACAGTGTCGTGTCATCTGCCAGCTGTGCGATCTTTATTTTCTCATCACATATGTAAAATCCCAATATGTTCTCATTATATCTGATCCTACAAACCATTATCTCGACAGCTATTACAAAATGTAGACATGAGAGAGGACACCCCTGTCGAATTCCTCTTGTTATTTCGTAATCTGGAGTTATCCGGTTATTATTTTGTACACATCCCCTGATATTATAATAAAACGTTTTAACCCAGTTCTTAAAAGAATTACCAAAACCAACTTTTGTCAAACAAGAAAACGTGAAATTCCACTCAATTGTGTTAAAGGCTTTTTTGAAATCTATGAAAATTATGGATGCATCTAAATTAAATTGTTCTGAATAATCAATTATGTCTTGTATTTGCCTAATATTATATCCGATAAATCTATTTTTTATATAGCCGTTTTGGTCTGTGTGAATAATTTTTGGAATAACTCTTTTTAGTCTAGTCGCTAATACAATGCTGCTATCTTATAATCAATATTTAAAAGGGTTATCGGTCTTCAATTTTTGAGATTCAGTATATCCTTTTTTATAAATCGATGAAAGTCTACTATTTGTGTTTGACTCAATTCTTTCTGTTCATACGCTTCATTTAAAGATTCGGTAACTATATGTCCAATCCTATCCTAAAACGTCTGATAAAATTCTACACTTAATCCGTCCATTCCTGGGCTTTTATTTAATTTCATCTGATGAACAGCTTTTGCACTTTCTTCCAAAGTAATATACCCATCACATTTTTTACTCTCGATTTCTGTTAGCTGCTATTTCAGTATTATTTTTATACTCATCAATGTCATTTATATTTGGGTTAGCAGACTGATACGATTTTTCATAAAAAAAACTTGAATGAATTTTAATACATCAGAAACTACCTGACCTGTTTCGTTTTTTATACTTCCAATGACACTGCTTGATTGCCTGTTTTTTTCTTAACTAAAATATTTTTTCGTTAAGAAAAAAACAGGCAATCAAGAGTATTTTTTTCACCTTGTTCTAACCACTTTTCTCTTGCTCCTTTCTGGTCGTATAAATGTTCTAACTCTGTTTCAAAAGCAACTATCTCATTTGTTTCTTCCAAAGATATATTAGTTTTGCCATTCAAAAAGCTACTAATCTGTTAATTTTTCTTTCTTGAGACTTTTTTCTACAAAATTCTATTGTTTCATTTTTATGATCGCTTTGCAATAGCCCCAAGTCTGTCTTTAATTTAAATGTCCTTTTTCAATTTCTTCCAATGTTTGTTCGATACATTGTTGCATGTGTTTGATGTAGTCTTTGTCTTCCAAAATACTGTTATTTAGTTTTCAAATTCCTGGCCCAGATTTATTACTAGTATCTAATAATATTTTCATCGATATAGCTTGGTGGTCAGTACATTAAATTTTTGCCGGCCTAATATCTACACTTCTTATTGCATTTGTAAAATCGTCTTCGATTAAAAAGTAATCAATTCTACTTGCTAATATTCTACCCTTTCTCCATGTATATTGATTTTTGATTCTATTTCTCATTCTCTATATATCTACTAGTTTGTATGATTGCTTTAATTTCTTTAACCCGTATGTACTTCTTATTTCAGTGTTTTCTGAAGTACTCTTTCTATCTACTTCACTTTGTACTTCGTTAAAGTCCCCACCAATTATTAGGAATCCCATTTTGAAATCTTCAATCTCTGCTATTAATTTCTTGAAATATACTAAACAAAAAAAGAAAGGTAACACTACTTTATTCTGTGATTAATTAATTAACCCCTTCATAAATTCTTACCAATCATGCATATTTGATTAATTCTGATAAAACTGCAGTCATGGTTCATTATAAAACTTTGCGTTCAGTTGATTTTATTCGACTGTAAAGGACGTTGGGGTCAATTTCAAAGGTAACACCAATAGTAACGGGTATGGCCACCGTTTGCGAAGTAAACACTATTGCAGCGTCGTCGCATGGAACTCTAAACCGGCGGATAATTCGAGGATAGATGTTGTTCCATTCAGCGATCAAGGCTTGGGCCAGCTCCTGCAACTTTCACGGCTGATTTTGACCTTCTCTCACGCGTCGCCCAAGAACGTCCCAGACATGCTCAATCGGTGACAAATCAGGTGATTTAGATGGCAATCTGTACGTTATTCTGTTGCAATAAAGTTCTGCTGACGCGACTGGTGTGCACTGGTGCGTTATCCGGTTGAAAAATTGCGCCAACGCCATGGCGTCTTAGGAATGGCA